CCCCAAAACCCCAAAACCCCAAAACCCCTTATTTTATCCAAAATTGAAATCTGAAACCTTCTAATACCTTCAAATCCCTCTCAGAGTACAATAAAATGCATTTTAACTTATTTCACAAATTAATAATTATCTGTTGTTTTAAATCCCTTCAATTCCGAACTTCTTCCTTCTTCACTTCTTTTTCTTTCTATTTAGCAGAATACTCATATTGGTGTCTATAATTCAATATATCATTTTTGAACTCTTATACTAAACCCTCCTAATGAATGGAGGTAATTTTTGGAGAAGACTTTGAAACGATACCTAAGCTTATATAAACTAAATTTTGCTCTAATTTTTCTTCCATAGTACACAAAGAACCTCATTTACCTCAATAATGGTTAAAACCTCTAAGATGTAGTCCTACCTCCCAATGGTGTAAGTCCTATAAGAAGGAGGCTAAATAAAACACAAGGTGTTCTAGGCCTATTTCCAGGGTTTAAGTATGTACAGACTTATAAACTTTGCTATTTCTTTGGAATACTTTTTAAAGTATTTCTCTAATTTAGAATTTTTACACACAAAATTTCAGGTACTGGTTCCAAAATTTCCTCAAAAATTTGTGGAGAACGAGAGAGTAAATCTAGCCGAAGCTAGATTAATTATGTGCAAATTCCGGTTTATAGGGTTTAGTAGCTGAAATTTCGGAAGCTCATGAAACTTCAGAAGACCATAAAATTTTCAAACTTTGGTTTACCATCAATTATCTCTGAGAGCTATAAGTTAAGTTAGTATTAGAGCAATATTTACGTTAAAATTCCTTATTTTTGAGGCAGAGATGCCTCAAAAAGTCAGATAGGAGTTCAATCGGATATATTAAAATATAGAGGTTAAATTTTAGATCCCGACAGTATGAAAACATTTTAGGATCTCGATTTTAAAAACAAACAAACATACCTTATGACGTAGCCTCCAAATAGAGTCTGGAGAGAGTGTATTCTTGAGCTTATGAATGATCTTATCATGACAATTCTATAAGAATGAATATTATATTCAATTTTTGGTGAAAACACTGTCTCAAAAGAATTCATATACTTTCTAACCTGAATTGCAAACAGGAATATCGACTAAAATTTGGAAAATAATAATGGTCACCGAAAAATGTACTAAGCTGTGGAAGAAGGTCCATAGCCAAGAGTAATAAGATACAACACTTAGCATACTTGTAAGCTCTTGTTTACTTCATCTTTCTTCTCAATGATCTCTTTATAATGAAACCTAAAATCCTCAGGACGGGATAAGTCTAGGCCTATGAGGGTAAAGCATTTGATTTACGTCTACGATTCGCTCTTTTACGCTTCTTGACCTCTTTCTTCTCGATCAAGTTCACAGACTTCTTAAAAGATCCGGTTGTCTGGGAGGATTCTTCACTTATTATGCTATTAATCTATTTTCCATGAATCAAAAATTCTTACCTTCGGAGATTGAATTTTACATGAGCCCTCTGCAATTGGGAGGAGGGTCTCCTTCCTGAAGTTAGACTTCATTGTCCTCCTAGCTCTACATAATTTAAGACTCTCTAGCGTACCAATCAAATTCTGGAAGCTTATTTTGTGGGGAATTTGGCGTGCTCACCAAAATGCGTTCACAATCCCTACTTTACGTTAAATACTTTCCTGCTAGCAGAGGAATTCAGAGTGGTAAAATGCTTTTTGGAATAGCAAAAGTAACCTATTTGCCTACTTAAAAGTATCAAACTGGCTCTGATACATGTAGTCTTTGATTTGGTTCGAATTGGAGCTTGGAGGAGTCTGAACTTTTTGAATTTTTCAAGCATCAGAGAAATCAATAGACCGATTCAGATTTCTTCTTCTGCAGCCTAAATTTGTTAAATAAATTTATTTGCCTTCTTGAAGCTTTTTGCTCATATCTTGATCAAAAGAATTTCGTATGATTCCTAAGAGGCTTCCGATATGGACATTTCGTCTATAGAGAAAATATGTGAGATTTTGATGGATAACAAGGAAAGCTTACCCAGTCCATTTTTGTTTCATCTGGAGCTGCTTATACTTCATTAGTTCAAGATGCACCTCATTCCTCCTATGATAATGATACTATAAGTCGTACCTAGACTTTTTAATCTTGTGGCCAAGACTGAATCTCCTGCCTTCAACTACCTTACGACTTTTGGGTAAGATTATAGACCTGGCATTGGACTCATCCAGACTTCCGAGCTTTGTTCTTCTGTTATTTATAGATGTTTGAAGGTAAGTCCTTATTTGGCTTTGAATTCTATAATTCTGGTGAACTCAGAGTTCAAGTTAATAAGAAAGAACCCATTAGCCTATCCGCTCAATTAGTTGATAGCCAAAGGACTCTCCTTCATTGATTTGAAGAAGAAAGAGGCTTTTTAAGCATAAAGGATGGAGGTTGTACCTTCTCTCGCTCATGATAGTTACTAAATTCAATTATTTACAGTGCATTTGGGGTTTTGGGGTTTTGGGGTTTTGGGG